ATTGATCAAATATTCTATAATAATATAACCTGAATTTAAAAAAACTAAAAGACAACAGAATTACTACAACTTTAACTACAACTAAAATAAAAAACTGAAAATACATGAAAAATATTAGAATAACTACAATAAAAAAATCATTAACAAATGATCAGCTGAATGTCTTTCTTGAATAATTGTTTGATTTGACTACAAAAAAAATGACCTTTGGGTTAAAAAATTACTGTATATATTCAATTAAAAAAATCACTCTTTTTTGTATTATATGTAGATTTTTATTTGATAGATGATAAGCATTTACTTTGACGCTGCATCAGACCTTTCCATTACACATTGGTTTCCGCAATTTCATGTTTTGGATGTGTCCTTCAGTGACAAAATGTTTGGTCATAATCCTCATAAAAAATTTCGCTCTTTCCAGTTGCTTCTCTCATCATGTTTGACAGTGACAGAATATGCTAGCAGCTTGACAGCGCTCCTGTCCTCTCTCTCAAATCCCTCTCAATAAAATATATACACAATACATGAGTGAGAAGCGGACAGCTGGACAGGACCTTCTCAAGGCTGACCATTGAAATCCCAGCTTTAGGTCTCCAGGGCCCATGAGTGAGGATCGAGAGCGTCTTTATTTGAATATCAGTCAGTGAGTTACAGCAAACAGATGCCGGCAGCTCCTGGCGTACATTTATCTGAACCGCAGATAAGATACAGCGCAGCGTCAGGCGTGAGAAATGGATGGGCTGGCGGTGTGTTCTGTTGATTGAAGATGATGTATGTCTGCAGACGAGTGCTGGATGCTGCCAAGAGGAGCAACCAGACGGGTCATTTCCTGTGGGTGGGGTCTGACAGCTGGGGCTCCAAGATCTCACCGGTCATTCAGCAGGAGAGAGTGGCAGAAGGAGCCATTACCATCCTGCCCAAACGCGCCACGGTGGAGGGTACGTACATGTGAAAACTTGTAACTGACTAAAGCACTCCTGTTCAAAAATCTAGGGTCGGAAAGATTGTCTGCATTCATTTGCTCAAAAATACAATAAAAACAGAAAAAATTTGAAATTTAATTGCAATTTAAAATAAATGTTTCCTATTTGGATATGTTTAAAATGTAATTAATTCCTGTGATGCAAAGCTGAATTTTCAGCATCATTACTCCAGTCTTCAGTGTCACATGATCCTTCAGAAATCATTCTAATATGCTGATTTGCTGCTCAGCAAACATTGCTTATTAACAATGTTGAAAGTAGTTGTGCTGCTTAATATTTTTGTGAAAACCGTGATAATTTTTTTCAGGATTCTTTAAACAGAAAGTTCAAAAGAACTGAATTTATTTAAAATATAAATATTTTGTAACTTTATAAATGCCTTTACTGTCATTTTGGCTAATGCAACCTTGCTGAATAAAAAGTATTTTTTCTTATTAAAAAAAAAAAAATCTTACTGACCCCAAACTTTTGAACAGTAATGTGACAACTGATCAAAAATATTAAGTGTTAGTAACAGAAATAAACAAAAGGATTAATATTTAGAACCAGGCGCTGAAAAATGTGAAAATATCTGGAGATTTCAATGATCACCAAACTGTAAGAAATAAAGCCTTAAGTTATGGTAAGTCATAAAAATGTCAATATTGCATATTTCTTTCTAGTTATGAAAAACGTATTCCTTTGTCAGTTCATGTTCATGCTATTAGTCCACTATTACATGAAGTTCTTTGCTTTCCTGTTTAGAAGTCAACAATCATAGAGAACTGATTCACCAGATTCTCATAGACTTGCATTGCAGTTTAGGAGTTCAGTTAGTGTGCATCTCATCTTCTCTAGATTGCATTGCTCAGACTTAGTGGAGATATTTATTCCTGCTCTCCAATGGTGTCACACAAGCATTGCGAACAATTAGCATCATGGTCTGACACTTAATACCATATCCATAAAGCACCAAGCGCATCCGAGCCTCCTTCTGGTCGTTGTCTGCACTCAAGTAATCATAGCGCTGTCCCTCAAGCGCCGGCTCTCAGGCCTGCAGGCACCAGCTCGGGAATAGACCCACCAATTAGAGCACTTTTGTCAGAACACATTGTATAATTGTGTCTGTGGAGACAGGGATTCGACGCAGACATCCAGACAGGAATACCACCGAGGATTTGCGAATGCTCTGCCACTTCACTGACACAAATGTGTGTCATTCTTTCAGATGCTTATCTTTTCTTCACCTCTCTCTCCTCAGCGTTCGATCGCTACTTCCGGAGCCGCTCGCTCTCCAACAACAGAAGAAACGTGTGGTTTGCTGAGTTCTGGGAGGAGAACTTTGGATGCAAGCTGGGGATGCATGGAAAGCGGCCAGGAAGCCTTAAAAAGTGCACTGGTAAGATTTGCTTGCGTTCAATCTATTATTCTGTCCATTTTGCTGTGTTCACCGATTCATATTTAAAAGGGTTGTTGGGTTTAAATGAATATTTCACCCAGAAATGAACATTTGCTGAAAATGTACTCGCCCTCATGCAGTCTAAGATGTAGATGAGTTTGTTTCTTCACCAGATTTGGAGAAATGTAGCATCACATAACTTGCTCGCCAATGAATGCTCTGCAGTGAATGGGTGCCATCAGAATGAAAGGCCAAACAGCTGATAAAAACATCACAATAATCCACAAGTAATCAACACCACCCCAGTCCAGCAATTAATGTCTTGTGAAGTGAAAAGCTGTTTGTTTGTAAGAGTCCTCTATCCATAATATTGCGTTCTGCAGTGAAAAAGTTGTCTTGTCTGAATCAGGAGGGAAATCTGCACAGATCAAGCAGAGAAAACAGTCCAAAATAGTTCTAAACAAATATGTTGGTGTTTTGATATGAAAGAATATGAGAGAGGATGGACTTTTTCCCTGGAGGAAGTGTTATTATGGACTATGAACTTGTATTTTAACAAGAAGAAATGGTTTGTTTCTTACAAGCATGCAGCTTTTCATGTTACAAGATGTTAATTAATATTTTGAGTTGAGTGGGTTACTTGTGATGTTTTTATCAGCTGTTTTGACTGCACTCAAGTAATCATAGCGCTGTCCCTCAAGCGCCGGCTCTCAGGCCTGCAGGCACCAGCTCGGGAATAGACCCACCAATTAGAGCACTTTTGTCAGAACACATTGTATAATTGTGTCTGTGGAGACAGGGATTCGACGCAGACATCCAGACAGGAATACCACCGAGGATTTGCGAATGCTCTGCCACTTCACTGACACAAATGTGTGTCATTCTTTCAGATGCTTATCTTTTCTTCACCTCTCTCTCCTCAGCGTTCGATCGCTACTTCCGGAGCCGCTCGCTCTCCAACAACAGAAGAAACGTGTGGTTTGCTGAGTTCTGGGAGGAGAACTTTGGATGCAAGCTGGGGATGCATGGAAAGCGGCCAGGAAGCCTTAAAAAGTGCACTGGTAAGATTTGCTTGCGTTCAATCTATTATTCTGTCCATTTTGCTGTGTTCACCGATTCATATTTAAAAGGGTTGTTGGGTTTAAATGAATATTTCACCCAGAAATGAACATTTGCTGAAAATGTACTCGCCCTCATGCAGTCTAAGATGTAGATGAGTTTGTTTCTTCACCAGATTTGGAGAAATGTAGCATCACATAACTTGCTCGCCAATGAATGCTCTGCAGTGAATGGGTGCCATCAGAATGAAAGGCCAAACAGCTGATAAAAACATCACAATAATCCACAAGTAATCAACACCACCCCAGTCCAGCAATTAATGTCTTGTGAAGTGAAAAGCTGTTTGTTTGTAAGAGTCCTCTATCCATAATATTGCGTTCTGCAGTGAAAAAGTTGTCTTGTCTGAATCAGGAGGGAAATCTGCACAGATCAAGCAGAGAAAACAGTCCAAAATAGTTCTAAACAAATATGTTGGTGTTTTGATATGAAAGAATATGAGAGAGGATGGACTTTTTCCCTGGAGGAAGTGTTATTATGGACTATGAACTTGTATTTTAACAAGAAGAAATGGTTTGTTTCTTACAAGCATGCAGCTTTTCATGTTACAAGATGTTAATTAATATTTTGAGTTGAGTGGGTTACTTGTGATGTTTTTATCAGCTGTTTTGACTCTCATTCTGACGGCACCCATTCACTGCAGAGTATCCATTGGTGATCTTATCTACTGTACTCCTCTACTGTACATCTTGGATGGCCTGAGGTTGAGTACATTATCTGCAAATGTTCATTTTAGTGTGAACTATGCAACAAAAGTGAAATGGTTTGAAGCGAGGCCTAAGCGTGTTGCTTTGTATGGAAGTGATGTGAAGTGTCACATCTCTGTGAGGCTGTCAGGTGCCACAGCTTGAGCAGTCAATGCAAACCAAGTGTGTTCCCGCCGTAAGCCTTCAGACAGATGTCTGGGTGACATTTGGACCGTTTCCAGTCTCTGACTTCATTGAACCTTTCTTTCCTCTCTCCTGTCTTATAAGAGGCCACATGTGACAGTCTAGGGGAGCCGTTCAAACAGAACACTCTTGCGTTAAAAACAGCTAGACAGAGCTCAACATAATTTAAAGGGTTAGTTCACCCAAAAATGAAAAGTAGTCCATAAATTACTCACCCTCAAGGCATCCTAGGTGTATATGACTTTCTTCTTGGCGCTTTTTATTTAACTTCTTTTGGACTGATTTTTAATATAACTCCGACTGGATTCGTCTGAAAGAAGAAAGTCATATACACCTAGGATGACTTGAGGGTGAGTAATTTATGGGCTAATTTTCATTTTTGGGTGAACTAATCCTTTAACAGAAAGCATGTTTATGGGTACATTAACTCTCGTTCCACACAGTTGTGTTAGTTTTTCTGACATAGTTACAACTTGTTTGGTAAAGTTGCAACTGTAAACATTCGATAGATTCGATATCTGACCCTCTTCCAGATTAATCTGATTGGTCCATTGATTTACAACCGGCTTTTTTTTTTCGTTGAGCTGTTTTTAACCATGTCCTTCTGCTTGATGTTTACATCATAATCTAATATTAATATCAGTGTTAATATAACACTGTACAATCATTTTCTATACAATAACATTAGTTAATGCAATACCTAACATATGCAAACAGTGAGCAATAGTTTTACAGCATTTATTAATCTTAGTTTGTTAATTTGTTTATATACTAGCACGTTTTTGTGTAATTCAGTATAACTTCATATATTATGAATGAAGATGAATTAACAATGAACAAGAGCATATCTTTAAATGAAATTAATGTAGATTAACAAATGCTATAAAAAAATGTTGTTTATTTTTAAATAATGATACATTAACATAAATGTTAATGAATTCACCCGTATTGGAAAGTGTTACCAAAATAATTTCTGCATTGGTTGTCGAACCCTTAATAAAAATAAAAATAACTAGTATTGGTGTTTAAAAAAATAATGTGAGCTGATCTCTGCATTTGTTATGATACAGTATGCGGGGGGGAATGTTGTAACAACAATAGGGAACCAATCTGTTGTCAGCCTGGAGTTGCCTGTCGACACACACACACACACACACACACACACACACACAGACTGGTCAGATGGAGAGGAAGCTCAGTGTGTGTCGTGAGTCACTGTGCTAATTTGAGGGCAGCACAGAGCGCATGACACAGAGAAGATCTCGTCCACCTGAGTGCGTCACTGCTCATGAGAGACTGCTATAGTCCTACAACCTCACCCAACAAAATGAGCCCAGACAAACCAGGGTCAGACTAACAAAGTGACCGTGACTGTCGGTCAACAGAGCCTGAATATCCACCTTGAGCTGCAACATTAGAATTCAGATAACGCAGCCGTCTGCTGAGGCGCATGACACCAGATTTTAAAGGAATAGTTCACCAAAAATCTAAATTTGCTAAAAATTTACTCACAATCCAGGATGTAGATGAGGTTGTTTCTTCATCAGATTTGGAGAAATGTAGCATTCCATCACTTGCTCACCAATGGATGCTCTGCAGTGAATGGGTGCCGTCAGAACGAGAGTCAAAACAGCTGATGAAAACATCACAATAATCCAAAAGTAATCCACACCACTCCAGTCCATCAATTAACATCTTGAGAAAAGCGGCGTGTTTGCAACTTCAAACTGTTGCTTCCTGTTAAAATACAAGACCTCTATCCATATTGATTTCTCCAATGAAAAAAGATATGCACAGATCAAGCATCGTTTGCAAGCAAAAATAGTTCTAAAAAATTGTGGATTTTGATGTAAGAGGACAAAAAGGGATAGACTTTTTCACTGGGGGAAGCTGTTGAATTGTTTGTATAACGGTCTATTTCAAGGTTTACATCCTTAACCTTTTTTTGTTCATGGCTGAATACTGCATAGGCAATGATATGTAAATGTGAGTGTTAATATGTTAATAAACTGATGTTTGTGCAGCTTAGTTGTAGATGGAGCTGCAATGCTAATGTTAGATTATCTCTACACTGCACATCAAACTTTTATTGTTTCAAATGAGCAGGAAAATCCACAATACGACTGACTATATAATACAAAAATAAATAATACACTCAGAGCAGAGCTGCTATTAAATCTGCAATATAGAGGAGAATGAAATTTGCCACTGAGCAGTAAGAAAGCCATTGTGAGTGACACAGGATTTTAATGTCTCTGTGAATGTGCGCTTAGAAAAGTGCACCAGGGGAACGAACGCAACCCTCGGCTTGTATATTAGGAAACTTCCGCCACTTCTGATAGAATGTGCTTGACATAATGAATATAATTATACATCACACACACCACCACCACTCACATTTTGTGACGTCTCAGTCATTCGCAGTATGAGTTGTTTTTCGCACCCGAAACACAACAACGGCACCGTCATGAAAACTTCATCACACTGTTTCTTCAAACACACGAACAAATCATCACACCCAGCAGTCTTCATGAAAGCTGCACACTGTTTTAGCAACTTAGTTGTAGCAGATAAATATGGAAGCTTGTTTCCTCCACAGGATAAAAAATAAAGGTAACTGTGACTTTTTACCTCCCACTTCTGACTTCTGAATCTTACAATTCTGACTTGAGTCTTGTGAGTTTATATCTTGCAAATGACCTATCGGTAAGCCCCTCCCCTCGAATGCAGATGAGCCAATGGCAGTCGAGTATCAGTTGCACGGAGAGCAGAACTCGGACATCTTTAGGTTTAGAACGTTAATGTCATCTTGTGCTTCAGCAACGTATCTCTGGCTAAAACCAACGTTAAAGTTAGTGCGTCCATGCTAACGTGCAAACCTAAATACCTAACTGTTCTCACGTCATGTACAGTGTAGTTAAGTATAAATATAATGGAGGAACCTTTGCTTTTTTATATGTTTTCATTTGTTTAAATGTGAATATTTGTTTAATG